GTGGAAGCTCTATGCTTTTTCTGAATTAGCCTCAGAAATCACATATCAATCTTTTGCCATCTTTCCATGCCACCATAATGGTGCATGTGGAAGTCCTGGCTGATGCTCTCAAGGGCATCAACAATGCGGAAAGAGAGGCAAATACCAGGTTCTTACTAGGCCATGCTCCAAAGTCATTGTCAGTTTTCTAACCGTGATGATGAAGCATGGCTACACTGGTGAATTTGAAGTCATAGATGATCACAGAGCTGGGAGAATGGTGAACGTCACATAAGCCAGATAAACGACCGTGGAGTGACCAGGCCCAGATTTGATGTACAACTCAAAGATCTAGAAAAATGAAAAACTAACCCGTTCCCACTCCATCAGTTGGTTTTATTGTACTGAGAACCTAAGTGGGCATCATGGACCATGAAGAAGACAAAAACACACAGGAGGGAAAATCGTGGGATTCCTTTTCTAGGGGTGTAATCCATATGTGCAAATAAAATGCCTCAATGGAAATAAAAAGTCACATATCTTCACTTCTGCCACATATTATTTATTAAAAGCAAGTCACTAACTCCCAGCCAACATTTAAGGGGAAGGCATTTAGGCTCCACCTTTTGAAGGGTGGAGTATCAAACACTATGTAGACATTTTAAAATCACCACAGTCCCCAAGACGATGTGGTCAAAGAAATTTCAAATAATAGTGTAGACATCTAGGGTTCAATTCTGAGTTCTGTCTTATGGTATAATCCTTTCCATGACCCCAAAACTTTAATAAAAGCTGAGAACACTACAGCCATGTGTTAGAGTACTTTGAGGAATGAAGGTATAGCAGTGCAAAAAGATGACAACTGTGGGAGGTGAGTTAACAAGTAGGATAATTGAAAAATTGAAAAAAAGGAGTTTAAACTTAAACTAGCCCTGATATTTAGTGCAATAAGAAATACTTGATATATGAAAAAAAAAGAAAGACAGAAAGAAAACTTGACAATCACAAGAAATCAATAGTCATTCAGAGAAGTGAAAGGCCGTACTGTAGAGGTGCCAGCAGGGGAGGCAGGGTGCAGTATTGCAAACTCTAAAATGTTCCCAGTACTTGGGAGCCAGGCATGAGGAGAAAGCTATTGCTCCCCTTCTCTGGGTATCCATTCTAATTTTATTTGGGTGTGAGGAAGGTACCTTGTGCATTTGAGGATTCTGACTCCACCCCTGATTCTAGGAGTGGAACATGTAAGCCAGGCCTAACATATGAGGCAAACTTCCATCTCTTGGACACAGTTTTTTTTAGGAGTGGGCATGCAGCTCAATTCCAGATAAAGAGACATTTAAAAAATTATTTTATTATTTATCTGTTTGTTTTTTCAACATTTTTTTTTAATCCTTACCCGAGGGTATTTTTCCATTGATTCCCAGAGAGAGTGGAAGAGAGAGGGAAAGACAGAGAGAAATATCAATGTGAGAGAAACATCAATTGGTTGCCTCCTGCACTCGCCCTGGAGCCTGCAACCCAGGGACATGCCCCTTACTGGAATCAAACCCCAGACCCTTAAGTCTGCAGGCTGACACTCTATCCACTAAGCCAAACTGGCCAGGGCAAAAAGACATTTACTAGGGCAAATAAGTTTATTTGCTTTTCTTAGAGAGTGTATGAGGGAGCAATTCCCTCTCTCCCCCCCACCTTCCATTCCCTAGATCAGGGGTGGGCAAACTTTTTGACTCGAGGGCCACAATGGGTTCTTAAACTGGACCGGAGGGCCGGAACAAAAGCATGGATGGAGTGTTTGTGTGAACTAATATAAATTCAAAGTAAATACATTACATAAAAGGGTACGGTCTTTTTTTTTCAATAGTTTTATTCATTTCAAACGGGCTGGATCCGGCCCGCGGGCCATAGTTTGCCCCCGGGCTGCCCTAGATTCTTAAAAATATGCATGGCTAAGCCAGAGTCAAACCAAACCTGCATTTCATTCTATGTCTGGACATCCAACTATTCGAGCTAATATCTTTTATTAAGTCAATATGAAATGAGTACTAGCCTTTCAACTTTTTGTATGTTTGACAATTTTCACAAACGTGTGGGGGGCGGCGGGGGGAGAACCACATTTGACACTATCTCTCAACTACCAGGCTGGAAAAGATTAAACTGTTTGATATGCATTATGTTAGTAAAAACCCACTCTATTCTTCCAGATGCTCAGGTCCAAAATTTTGGGAGTTATTCTTAATCTCTCTCTTGCTCCCAATCCCACATCCAGCCCATAAGTAAAGCCTGTTGACACTGAAAGGTTAAAGTTGGTGATGTGAGGGCAAGCTAAATAGCCTTCTCAGATGGTAAAGGAAACTGAATTTAAGGAAAGGGGGTTGGAGGATGGGGACATCCAATGGGAAGGGCTACACAGCAAGCCCTGAGCCAAAGGGTGCTGGGTCGACGATGGCAGCAAAAATATACTTAGGACAGTGAAACAAGGAAGGGCATAGAAGAGGCTGCTTGGCTCACTGACAAGTCAGAAAAAAGGGGGCCTTAGAGACAGGTTCAAGGGGTTAGCTCGGATGAGTTGTCACTGCCCATTGTTCTCCTGGTTACAAATCTCATGGGGTCTCTTAGAAGTTAGGGGGTACATGCCTGTGGCAAAGGAGAAGGAGAAGGGAATGGGAGATTAAGGGGCCCTTAGGGGGTCCACAAATCACTTTCAGAGAATCTGCAAACTCAGAAGTTACTAGCAAAATTTTGTGCGTGCCTGACAGGTGGGAGATGTTTGGGGGAGGGAGAGGCGGGCGGGGAGACGAGGATTTGTAGCTTCATTGTTGCCCAAAAGGTCTCTAGAGTCTAGACTCAAAAGTTAATAACCATTGCTTAAGAGGAAGATAATAGATGAGTTAAAAATTTTTTTTAAACAAAACAAAACCCGAAGGCCCAGAGAAGGGTTCAGTGTTAGAGAGGAAAAAGGAAAACCCCTTCCTTATCTAAGAAAAGCTATCATCAGATTGAAAAGTTCACAATTACATCATCAGCCCAGGGAATCAGTGTGGAGGCTTGCGAATGGAGACTGCGGATGCCGGGAGGGTGGGGAGGGGAACGCCTGTGTTACCAACCGAGCCTGCAGGTTCGGTGCAGTCAAGGCCCAGGAGGTGGTGCTGAGGCTGGGCGGGCCGGCCCCGTTCTTAAGCCAGTGATCGCCCCTCGGACTCCAGCCGACCCGCCTGGGAGGGAGCGGTCTTTTCACAAGAGACCAGCATCGCCAGGCGGAGGAGTCACACCAGGTGGAGGTCACATCAGGGCGTCGCCTAGGCAACTAGCCGTGCGGCAGCGCTTCCCACGGTTGCTGTCCTTTCCCCGCTGTGTTAGAGCGGCTGCTTCCAGTCCAGCCTCTCCACCTGCTGACATTTCGAAATCGTCCCGCCCTGTTTCGACATCTCTCTTCCCGGCCTCCAGTTCTCCGCCAGGCGCTGGGCCCCTTGCCAGCGGGCACCCGGGGAACTCATTCATTCAAAGACGGTGGGGTTTGCTGGGCTACTTCGGGTGCAAACTCGGCGCGGGGTGCGGGGTGGGTCCTGCGGAGCGCCGTGCCCTCGGGAGTCCGCTCGCGCGCGGCCAGCAGGGCCGGCAGTCCAGGCCCGACCGGATTCGAAAGGGCCGCCGCCCGCATGTCGCAACAGGTTCCCAAACAGACCCGCGAGCCCTGCCAGCGGATGCCCGGCTCTGGCCGGCTCCGCCTCGCGAGTCGGAGATCCCGCGGGAACAGAGCTCTCGGCCTGGGCACCCGCGCGCCTCGGGATTTGGGGCGGGCGCTCGAGCCCGGGTCGTAACGGCCGCAGTCAGCGGTTTGACCTTGAGGCCTGGCACCGCTCCCCAAGGCGACCCGACCCGCGGCGTCGAGAGCCCCGCGGGCGCCGGTCCCAGGCAGAAACCCGGCCTCTAGGGTCCCTGGGCGCTTCGCTCTCTTTCATGTAGCCAATCGGATCCCGACGTGGTGCGGCCAAGTATCAAGGGTGGTTGAGCTTCTCAAAGTTCAGCCTTAAGTTTCACATGTCGGCCAATCAGCGGCCAATAAACAAGAAGCTTCAAAGATCAAAGGGAAAGGGGTGGGAGCCTCGCCTGCGGACGGAAGAATGACAGGCCCCTGCACCAATACCGCAGGTATAGTTTTCTACTACGTAGGAAGGGGCTGGGCTAGTTTGGCCGCCGCACCAATGACGGGTGGGGGGCGTGTCCACGGGGCTACGCGGGAG